CGTTCTGCGTCAAGTTCATTTTGAATGAACTTGGCGATAGTAGCATGTTGGGCATCTCTATTGAGAGCCTCTAGCATGACGCTAACAGCATGGATGCCCATGGTCGAACCCATTCGTTCAACCGCATCCCATTCGACATCGCTCAAATGGGAGTAGCCGTCACGCGTAGCGTGAAAGCTTTGGTCATCTTCATCATCCAACATATTCATGTTGGATGTGAACGCGGTCCTTGGACGGACTACGAAGTGCTACCAGGTGTAACGGGGCACCCTGAAGCTTGTACTGGTGACAGTACAAGCTACTTATTCTGATAACAGAATAAGGCGGTGCCTCGTAACTTCACGTACACTCGTACGTGCAGAGGAAGACGGTAAGAAGAAGCGAGTACTTGGTTAGAGTAAAAGTAGAACTGTATTTATAATAGTTAATGTCTGCAATAAATCACTATTTATCTTCATCTAACTATGTCTAAATACAAATGTGTAAATCAGTTATCTGCTCACCACTCATTGCGTGCGTCTGTCGTGGCGCGTCTTCGTTGGTTGATATAATGGCCTATATCAACCAATTAGGAACTACTTGGAAGTGCTACACAATATTGTCCTTATGACAATATTCTGAGAATATAACTCTTATAGTTATATTCTATTAACAATTTCTTATAAATTGTTATGTAACGATTCACCCCGTTACATTAACTATTATAAATACAGTTCTACTATTTACTTTAACCAAGTACTCGCTTCTTTTTACCGTCTTCCTCTGCACGTACGAGTGTACGTGAAGTTACGAGGCACCGCCTTATTCTGTCATCAGAATAAGTAGCTTGTACTGTCACCAGTACAAGCTTCAGGGTGCCCCGTTACAATAGCTAGTAATTCAGCGTTGAGTTGGGGAATAGCTAGCCCCCCTCCTTGCTGGAAAGGCCGGCAACACGCTCATTCAGCCAGGTCGAACAACGACTATCGAGGTCGCCAAAAATATCCATGCTAAACGTAAGCTTTAAAAAACTTGGTAAAACGTTTTACCGTTGCGGTGGACGGCCACGCATGGCGTGCCACGTAATTAAGCTTAAGAATGATGATGGCCTTCGCCACTGTGGCTCGTCTTGCCACGGTAAGTGTCTTATGGATTGCCAATATTAGCCTCGACTGAAGTTGAGTCTCAGCAAGAGCCCAAGAGTGATCAGCTCCTCCTCCGCATCCTACCTGGAGACCAAGATAGCGTGTATAGACCGTGACACCTTGAAGTTTTATCGGCCACGGCCACGTAGTATTTGGAAGTAGTCCGTCTGGGTACAAAGCAATAGCCAACGTTTTTGAAATGTTGAGCCGCAACCCCGAGGCCTCGCCAAAAAGGGCAATTGTAGCGAGAACCTTCGGGATTTCGGCTGGCGTCATAACGTATATGACCGTATCATCCGCATACCCTGCAACTTTTAACATTTTCTTGTTCGTAGCGGACTGTAGCAGGATGCCCTCGAAACCCGTTTGGTCATCCAGCTTTTGATAAAGTGGCTCCAATGCCACGATGAAGAGGAGGGGAGCCAGTGGGCATCCTTGGCGAAAACCTCTGGTAATCGGTATCTTGCGCGAGCGAGTCCCGTTGGCTAGAAAGCAGCCGGGGGTCCCGTGATGAAGGGACTGGATGACATCCACTAAATGGCTAGGGCATCCGTGTTGCCGGAGTGCTGCAAGAAGATATGTTCGGTCCAACGTATCATATGCTTTAGCAAAATCCAATAAGAGTACTGACGCATTACGGAAATCTTCCGTGTGTAAGGCGACGTCTTGGGCTGCGTGAAAGTAGTCTATAACCAGGTGAATACTTCTGTTCGGCACAAATCCATGTTGGTGCGAGTGGATCCGCCGGTGGAGGGTGCCCCGTAACTGGGTCGCAATGATCCGCGTCATCAGCTTGTAATCCGAGTTAAGTAGTGATAAGGGGCGGTAATTGAGCGGGTTACTACCTTCCCCTGCCTTTTTAGGCAGAATACGTCCGTCTCCAGAAAAGAGACAGGGAATAAAATCGCGTTATACCACAGAGTAAACACGAGCAGGAGCAACGGAATCAGAAGGTCGGAATACTGGATTTAACCTGTCATTGCCGAGGCGATCGGGCCCGCACGCCTTTCCCTTTTAAGTGACTTGATGGCATTATTTACCGTCGTCGTCGTAAATGGATTATTCATCTCCAGACAGCCTAGGTCGTCAGAGAGGCCCCGAGCCATCCAGTCTGTTATGGATGCCGGCGGGGCGGCTGCTGCCGGCCCGTTAAGAATTGGACTCCACGCGTCCGCGAGTATGTTTGCCTTGTCGTGCTGGTCGCGGGAAGGTTGGTCAGTCACCGGTGTTAGAACGGGGATGACATTGTCCCCGAACTTACACGAAATACGCCGAAAAAAATTCTTAATAGTCTGTTCCCTACGCCAGGTATGTTGTCGAAACAGACGTCGCTGCTTGGATCGAAGCCAGTTCCGTTTAGTTTTTGCAATTACCCGCTCTAGCTCTTGTATTCCGTCATTATAATCAATTGTGGTACTATCAGGTCGCCCTCATAAGTCCGACGCGGCAAGTATGTCCTGCAGTCGATCATAACGTCGATAAAGTCGTCGTATCTTTTTGCGATACGTATTAATTAGACTTTTTTTCGCCTCGCGTTGGCGGGATTGAATGCCCTCAACCAGAGAATGCTTAAAGGAGACCCATTTAGTGGCCGCCTCTGCCGCCAACATATCGGGGTGGCTTATGGTGGTGGAGAGCAGATTTAATTGAGTCCGGACGTAGTCATCTACCCGTGTCTGAGCATACGGACGGACGGGGAAAACTCTCGGTTCCTTTTTGATTCTTACTGGGTTTGCGGGGTCTCGGAGATGAAGTATGACTCCTTTGTGGTCTCCATTGAGCCCGTCTCTGTCAAGTTCCGTAGTTAGTGCCCAATAACGGGCAGCATCATTCACGTAATAACGGTCTAGCCGACTTGAAGCTCTTCCATGTCCCGTCACCGTGTACTCATAAGTATGGTAATTAGTGCGGTACTGGTGCATATCCTTTTTCTCTTGTAATCGCGGCATAGCGTAAAGGGTTGAGTCAGTTAGCAACCAATGTTCCAGCAACAGCCTGAGTGCCGGCGAGTCATTATTCGTGAGACTACTGTAGCTGCGATCATGGTCAGGGTGGAGAGTGGAGTTAAAATCCCCACCAACGTAGAGGTGAGTCCCTTGGGGGATTACAATGTCCCGCAATCCGGTAAAGTAGAGCTCTCGGGTCGGCTTTTCCGTCGGTGCATACACATTGACGAGTATCACTGCTTGTCCCTCGTAATCGCCTTGAATCGCCATAAAATGCTGTGATCAATGAGATATTGCGAAAGGGACCATGTTCAGAAAACGCGAGCGTGGGTGAATGAGAATTCCAACCCCGCCACGCCTACCGTCGGAGGAAGACCAGTGGGATAACGTCAAGCAGTGGTTACCTGATCGAAAACCCCATTGTGTCGCATGTTTCCGAACCATCTCGTGGATCTCTTGGGCTTGCACATGGGTTTCTAGGACAAAAACCACGTCAAAGTGTCCCCTTTGGTGCTTTCGCTTAAAGGATGCGAGCCAGTCGGTCCGGGTTTGCTCAGAGCCCCCAAAACCTCTCACATTTGAGTTAGCAGGGCCATGGTCCGGTCGGCCGGGTATAGAGTCTCCATCGCCGATGAGCGCGGACGAGTTGAAAGTCCTTACGTTCCCTACGGCGCCGATCTTTCCGCCGATCAGCGCGAAACATGTCAAAATCGGATCGGAGGGTGTGCATCCGGTCCGAGAAGGAAGAGCCGGGTAAACTCAAGCAAGGAGGGCTGCTCACCCCCTTCCTGACGCAATTCAGCAGAGCCTCCTTTATTTACGCGGCACATGAGAAGCGTCTGCGGCTACTGAAGAACGCTAATCCATGTGTAAAGCGAAACGCGGCCGCTCCAAGCGGAAGCTTCAGTACCTTGCTCCAATCGGATGAGGTCGTGATCGCTTGGCACAGCTCCACTATTGCTAAAAGTGTAAATACCAGATTGCGTTCGCGGCTCCAGGAGCCCGACACATGAGGGTATATTTCCAATCCTTGACAGCAAACGGTAGGATATGGATGAGGTACCAACGAGTGACAGGAATATCAGGCGGGTTGGGGCGGAGTAGTGAAGAGTCGATGTAGCGCCCTAAGTCGACCCAACGGTCGTGAGATCTCGCTAGAGCATACGCTTCGACCGACTGCGCCGTCGAGAACTCATTTAGCCACCTTAGGCAGTGAGCGCGGGCCCTGGCATCACTTTCGCAGTCATCGGCGATGCGTCGGAGCGTGTCTAGTCGGTGCTGGTACACTTCGTGTTCCCTCCAAGCCAAAACCCAACTAGCGGGGGCCGCTTGAAAGGCCATCTCTGGGAAAGGCAAGAATTGTAGTACATGCCTCAGTGCATGCACGTGTCCCAGCATCCAATCTTGATAATCGTTACAAGTGCCATTTCCAGGATGGTGTGGTGGCACACTAAAATTTGGTCCATAGGTAGACGACCAGGTGGTGAAGGCCGCTTGGTGCGCCTTGGTCAGCCGTTTAGCTTGACGGCGATCAGAAATAGACAGCCGATCAGGGTCAGGGGTTTGTAAAATTCGCTCATATACAGCCGAGTGTGGGAGCTGGGCCGGGTGTGCCGCGTATCTTTTAACACTCAAGCCACTGTCAGTAGGGTCCACGTTTGTAACATGAGATCCAATGACATACACGTCAAGGCCTAAATCCTTCAAGATAGCAGCCTCCTCCGCCCGGGCTATTTCAGCCAAAGAATCCTCGTCATAGAGAGTAGAGTCTAATTTAGGTAATCCGACCTGTTGATGCACTAATTCAATCGCGCACGCATATTAAACCCCTGCAGCGCGTTCCAGGCATTAAATATGTCGCCATGTTGCACACCATAGAATTTTCTCTGTGTGTGCTTCAATACCACCATGACTGGAATGACCTTGCTTTTTAACAAGCCTCGAGGATGACACGAATTCGCTTAACGTCAAGTACCAGCACGATGCCCGTTTCGTGGTTGTCCTCATTGGGCATCGCGAATATCTGGAAAGAAAACTGTCGCGCGGAGCAATTGCCGGTCTCGTCCACGCCCCATACATAAATCGGCTCCCTCAAATACATTGCAAGAGCACGAAGAATGGTAGTCTCACTCCAAAAAGCGCTGGGAAGCGCCGTGCTAAAACATTGTTCCCTCGAGGCCGCATAATGAGCATATAGTGCAGCGGTCGCCGCCTCCACAGAAACCGGGGGAGTGGAAGTCTGGTACAGGCGTTCCAATTCATGTGCGGGGTCGATCAGCATCAATTGCACATCGTACCGCATGTTGGCCAAGATAAGATCCGTAACCTGGTGCATAATGGCATTGATATCCCGGGTTTGGGACACTGAAGGATAAAACGTAGAAGCTTGGACATTTGTTGTGGAGGCAAAGATAGCAGAGTAGAGACTCTGCCCATTAGAGGGGACGTCAACCTGCAATCCATGCAAGCTTCCAATCTATTCCAACACCAGGATGGGGGACTCGCCGTGATCCAGCACCACGCCCTTATCAGGTCCACCTCGTGACACCGGGATGATTTCTCCAGGCATCGTCGGATTTAGTGTCTCCATCACAATATCGTCCCGTCAATCCCAGGGTCCGTAGTGGCCTGAACAGGGGGCCAGCAAGAATCGTGGGTAGAATGGGGTTCTGACGAGATGCTGCGCTTGTCCGTGGACTGCCTCGTAGGTGCAGAATGGTCTACTGCAACCGATCAAAGATTATCTTCGTAGTCTGGAAATGAGACCGGGGTTAAGGTAGCGTCCATGTCCACGTCCTCATCAAAGCCATCCCTCGTAGTTGTCTTGCCTCACGTTCAGCCATTCGAGGCTGAGGGATGGAAGTTAATCGGTCGTCCTCATAATCATCATCGTCGTCAGAGCTCTCCGCGAGCTCTTCGTATTTGGAACGGTGTAGCGTGAGACCGGTATCAGATGACGCGCCATGAACCGGTTTGGTAGCGTTAAACGATGTGGGTGGGATAGGCTGCGATTGGTCGGCAGTGTGTTTCTCCTGTACACTTATGGCACTCTCTGCGAGTGAAGCACGTAGAGAAGAGACGTGGGCCGGATTAGGAGAAACAGCTCCCAGATTAATTTCTCTCCGTAGATGATGATCTGATTGGAGTGCGGAGTCATTCTGGGTCCGCTGTGGAGGTATCTACCGACCGCGCTGTGGGAGCACTCGTCCATTCGGTCTCACTGTTCCGCTGGTGTGTGCCAAAACAAGACCACGTATGTCAGAATCACGATTCGTGCACTGTCGGCGCTGTGCCCGTCCTACTACAGACCATCCAGTCGAATCCGGTGCATTATCGCAATGTTTCAAGCGTCCGGTAGTATGAGATGGCCCTGGGTTTACCTGAATTGGTGCTGGTATGGTCTCCAGTACCTGAGTCGCTTCGGATACTCCACTCGCAGCAGTCGGGGAAGCGATGGCGCCTAATATTCGGTTCAGATCATCAATGTTTGTACAGGCTTTGAATAATGAGGAAACATTTGACATAGCCCCCCCTACATACTTGCGCTGCCGGCTCGCTCGCAGGGATGCCAATCGGTCGTCTGAGGCGCGACAGCGCGCCCGTAGGTGTGCGGGGCTGTAACAATGACTACAGGGTACCGTGGCGACACGCTGGAAATGGTGGATCGTGATCACTCTTTCACCTAATACTAGCGAAGTGACATTGAGAAGTGTAGAGGGACAGTCCATGCCGGGGGAGATAACCATCCAGTAATCATTATCGTGTTCCGCAAGCCCCTTAGCACCAGGATGTCGGACATCCAAGATACTGGTTCCAGCGATCCGGCTAAACACGGTATGCAGCAAGATCGGATCTAACCCCTCGGTCCCAAGTAATTTTACAGCATAGTGTCTCGCCACCTGTGGTAGCGTTCGTGTTCCTAAGATGTCGTTTTCAGCCGACCGCAAGGTGATGGTACATTCACGTAGTCTGAGCTCCGTGTTGGCCCAAACGGCGGCTGCACGCTTAGACATGAAGACAAATGATAAAGTGTGGTTGCCGTCATAGACTACCCGTTGTGCTGCTTGGACAAAAAGCCGCATCTTGATCCTGTCTTCCTCAGACCTTGCATGGGCCGCACTGATCTCGCGTAGGATACACCGACGGTGGAGCGATTTGCCTAGCCGAGCCCTCGCCGGAACGTCAGCTGTCAACGTCCCTTCGAACTGAAACTGGTGATAAGCCATCATAGCGGCTCTTTGCAACCTGGTGTGGTACATACGAGAAAGGTGGGCGGGCCCGGGAGGTCAAGACGGCGTTCCACGTAGGCACTCAACGCGCTCCGTTCATCCGAGGTCATCGGTCGAAGAGAGGAGTCATCATGAAGCGGTTAATCCTTCCTTGCGATGTGGAACAGCCTCTGCTCGATCGTAGTTTCGGCTACTGTGGCGGTAGCGGGAGCAACACCAATATCCCGCAGCCGTGCAACCCCCGCTGGTGTCCATACTGTAGTAGAATGGCCGGCCGCTGTCAGATCGCGGGCATGAGTAGGCTCAGTAGATCCATCACTAGTTTCGTCCATGGTCATGTAACTGGTCATAGGGGCCGATTCGAGCTCCTCCGCTGATTGAGCTGGTTCCGGCGGCGGATCGAGACATCCTGAGACAGCTACATCCCGCAGGGAAGAAGAATCGTCCGGAGGATCAGGCGCGCGAGGGGGGCGACCCTCTCTCGAGGAGCTGTCGCCACCAATCTTTTTCGTGGTGGTATCGAACTGAAGAACTAAAAGGGCTGATTACAAATCGCTGGAGTCGTGCCACGGCAATTTGAAAAGTGTCACTTGTGAGTTTCACCGTGAAACCCACCTTTCTTTTCTTTCTCATAGCGCCTGCCCCGAAACTCCTTTTGTCTGGTGGACGCTCACGGACTCGAAATGCTGTATATATACTTGGGTCAGCACCATAATTTGTGGAAGACTTCATACGCTCAAACTCAATCTGGTCTGGCAAGCTCTCAAGCAGCATGTCAACCATAGTATTATCTTCTACAGTGTGCTTGAGGTTAACCAATTCCGTTTTGAGGCTTAACATTTGCACATATGCAGGTTTGCATCTCCTTCAGGTGTGAGCTTGGGAATCCAAAGCTCATGTTCCACGCGACGAATCGTTTTTACCCTGACTGCTTCGTTCTGTTTCCCTTCGTAGAGATTGCAAAGCTTTTCCCACATATCCAATCCGGTCTTCTTGTCGCGTATTTGCTGTAATACTTCCGAAGGTAAAGACATACCGATCATTTGCATGATCTTAACATGCTTCTTCTCAAACTCTTCTTGCTTTTGTGCACGAGCAGTAGCAAGCATTTCCTTGGTCGTACTACCAACTGCAATCGCCCTGAGGTCGTTCTCTTTAAAGACAGTTGTCATCCCCCATTTGTATGTCTGCCAATCCTTGCCGTCCCAGTTTTTCGGCACTCCTTCACTCGTGTACTTCATTATTAGGCTCATAACTCTGTCAGAATGTGTATTTACGAGAAGGTAAAATGAAGACCACATTTGTTTGAGGTGTTAGTGATTGAAATTTCCTACAATCTTAGCAGTGTTCTCCGTTACCACATAACGCTTCGATCCATGCTAACTATCACAGCGTCCTGTCTCCTGTAACGACCTGATATGTCCACGTCTCATAGCAGCACTAGTGCAGCATATCTCTGAAATGAATTCCAATTTCAACAAAAGCGTTAATGAAACATTAAACTTTTTAGAATTAATTAAATCGATAAGCTGAGCGTGTGTGGTTGGACCGTCCTTCTCCTTGTCGCAATGCGCCATGCTGGAGCTGTCGAACGAATTCCTTTTTCCTGACGCAAAAAAAGGGATTACACCTGCAACCTGTAGAAGACGGGGAGGGGTTTAAAATCAAGGTCGACTATCGAAGTAAATGCTTGCAGGGGCACCTCGACCAGATGGATCGAGGCGACAGCGGGAAAATTTGCACATTCTCTGTAACGGGGCACTAGTCGCTAGTCACTGGTAATGCTTCAGTACTAGTGCAACTACACTGACAACAGCGTAGGTAGTGCCGCGCATCTCTTCACGTACACAGGACGTGCAGAAGAAGAATAGTTCATGGACGAGGAGTTCAGTAGGAGTAGAAAGTAAAACTGTGTTAAATATAATTGAGTCTTAAATACCTGCACCTATGTTTAGTCCTAACTTGATGATATTAATCTACAAAACGGTATGCTAATGTCTTGCTCACCGCTCATTGCGCGCTTCCATGGTTGATTGGGCTGCTAAAGCCGGCTGATATGATGGACCATGTCATCCAATCGATGAGTGGTTCGGAATAAGACCCCTAATGGTAATATTCACGAACGTTATCAGCCTTTACGACGCTATTCTAATCAACGAAAATCAAAGTTGATTACATGTAACAGGCTCACCCGTAACATCACCCCCCCTTAGACGATTTTCACTCAGTCACTATCATGCTAATATTGTCAACGACAGATCACACCAGGGACAAGGAACACTTGTCTTGGTCTATTCCACTCATTTTAATATTTTCATAGCACGGTTAGCAAGTCGATGCGATGCGCGGCTGAATTCGCTGAGAAAGCAATTGCGCGTGTTAAAGCAGCTGCTCTTGACGATGCACAGCCTCTTGCGGCAGACTATGCTTCTTCTGCTTCTGCGTCATTTTTTCCTTGCAGCAACAGTTGCTGCAGAGGCACGTGGTTGCTACCACTTGCTGAAGATGATAATAGTTTCCAAGTAAAACTCATCTCTTTAAGGGAGTTTGAAGGTGGATCTGACTTGAAAAAGACGCCTAGGTCGCCTGAGTCTCAAAGGGCGACCGAGTGCGAGCCTTCGAATAGGACTCGAGCGGGTATTTAAGCTTAAGGTCGCTACAAAAGCCTGTTAACTTCAAAGGATTATGACTCATCCTCTTCGTTTGCTACTGCGCATTCGTTTCCTGGCGAATGCGTGATGTTTTGTAATTTCGTGATGACGATGGTAGCGGTACCATGACTTCCATTAATTCCACTTGAAGGCTCTAAAAGGCAATGTGCTGCGTCTAGCCCTTAACACAAGCCTTGGCTACTACCAGAAAGGCCTTGGAATGACTTTTAGGCGAGACAAGTCACTAGCATCGAATCCCATTGTTCGATATAAGGTTGTTACACGGCCTCGACATCGGCGCGAGTAACTTTCGCGCTGTAAAAGACTTTAATCTTGGTTTTTTAAGCATCTTTGTTATTGCAGCAACGGCAAACGAGACAAAAGATCGTTGCTGCCGGCGTGGAACGCCTTCATAATTAAATGTGCAGCACATTGGGTGAGATGCATGGCTACTAGTCTTTACGCAGCTCGTAACAGATTACATAGAACGAACTTAAACGGGTGCAAAATTTAAATTGCACCATCTGTCGCGTGAGTCAGGAATGTTTCATGCCTCACGCGGGGCGACCCATGTCCGTGTTGTTTTGAGAATACGCAACGCAGCCAAAGAGACGTGTACTTTTCATTTTCGCCCTAAATTAGAGGATACACTTTTTCTGAGATGGGCGATGCGATTGCTAGCCAGCAGTAGCTCTACCAGCGCCATGGGCGCGTGTTCTTCGGTGGCCCTTATAAGTCATCAGATGTGTCTTAAAGCACTGGTGGACGATACCCTCAACGTCTACCATCAGCTGAGCGCGAGGCTCCCAGATGTCGTGCGACGGCGGATAGCCGCGCCAGAGAGATAAGTAACTTGTTCGATGCCCCTTCACGTCACGGTGGTTCAAGATACGATCTAAATTTACTAGTTGACTACCGTGCGAAAGCACCAACGGCTGTGGTGATGGCGGAAATATATATCACTAACAATTTTTTGGTGTTGCAGACGGAGCTTGATCGTGTTCAGCAATGTTTACGCAATCTGTGCAGTCGCATTGATAACAAAGACTGAAGCGTCTCTCTATAAATGCTTGGGCGCAACGCCTCCGCCTACATCGGTCTGATGACCGAGTGGATTTCGCGTTACACTAATTAAAGAACTAGTAGAGGTTTTATGCCTTCACGACGAAGGTTCTGACCTTCATCTTCAAAAAAAGAGGCACTACATAGATAGATGGAGAAACTGGCCCGGGACCATAAAAATCTCTTGGACATTTTTGATCGTGGCGAGTGCATTCACCCCGAGGAAGAGACCTCGTGATGATAGTACGGGCGGAGACGGTTGACATAAACGGTAGGATGTGTGCAGATCCTGCTAGGCAAAAAGATCGTGAACGCATTGCCTTCGCGGTGCATTACACGAAACGGCCCGATAGACTTGGATAGAATTTTAGAAACGTCTCACAACAGTTAATACTTACTTAGGTAGATTTACAGAAGACAGTAAAACCAAACTCTGACATTGAAATAGAAAAAGGTTTGCTCTTCCATTTTAGTCAGCATTAAGTTTCTGCTGGCCCACTGCTTCAGCGATGGAGTCTTGCACAAATGGACCACTGCTTCTCGATGCAACAAAAACGTTCTGCCGACTCTGCTTTGTATGTATTAGTGTGCTTGGTGTTCACTGCTAAGAGCTAATTCTCTTACTTAGCTAGTGTGTCATCATCCTCGCTGGTATAGTCACTGGCGATGCTAGATACACCAGCATCGTCTTCTTCGTCTGGGATAGCAATAGTGTCGTCAATAATACTATTGTAATTTTCTCTGATGTAGAATTGATCGACATCGGAAATGTCACGTCGTCAAGAACTTCGACGCGTGATGAGTTAGAGCCAAAGCGATTTTTTCTCGAGCAAACCCTCCTTTCTAAGATCAGAGTCACACCTTAAAGGGGTGGTAAGAAGTGTATACTGTAAGCCATTCACACAGAATGGTGTAAGCGTTGTCGACGCATGCACGGAATTGATGATGGAAAACTCCACAATCGACAAAAGTTTGCACCAATCCGTGAAAAATTAAACGTATCCTCGAAGTATCGATTCGAGGAAGGGGTGAATGCGTCCTTTTGACCATATGTCTCGGAATGGTCAGAAGTTAACATAGTCAGGCGTGTTTCAAAGGATTGGAACACGGATTGCAATAACCCCTCCGTGCATCGAGGAACTTTATCAGATACTAGATCACTTAGCAGAATGTGTGGTCGGATAACATGTAAGTAGAGACACGGGCACAGCCCTGTGCTGTGATTAATTCCTTTACGGCAGCAAGATGTATCATCTTCCTAAAACGATCGACAAGCACAAGAATACCATTATTCTCGTGATCGTCTTCAGGACACTTGTAGACTAAGATCATGGAGACGGACTGCCAGCACTCTGCCGGGATTAGTTAAGGTTGCAGTATTGCACGGGATGAAGGAGCGATCTTGATCCGTTGGCACACCTTGCAAGCATGAATAAACTTGCGCACAAACTGATACTAGTGGGGCCAGTAAAAGTCGCGACTTATCGTGGGATAAGTCTTCTAACACCCACAATGCTCACTAGTTAGTGCATCATGACACTTATGCAAGACGCTCGACCGAAAATTGTTGTGAGTGTGAATTACAACATTAGGAGTGTTGCCTTTAACGGCTGCGTAACGGCTGTGTTGTAAAGCAACCCGTTGCTTGCTGTGCATCTATCCGGAGAAGATCGATACAAGGCCGATTAGGCTCTAAAAGATTTACGAGTTGGATTCACCGGATGATCCCTTGGCCCCAAAAAAGCCTAATCTTCTGCGTAGGCCTTTCTGATGTCGTCAAGCAAATTGGATGATGCAGCACTAAAGTATGGTGTTTTAACAGCAGTATCAATCTCACTATTGGACTGCGCAGCCGACCCGAAATTTGTTCGTCGTGATAACGCGTCCGCGGCGATATAAATTGTCCGGGTTTGTATTCCATGGAGAAGTCGTTGAACTCAAATAATGACGCCGGTCTTGACATCCGCTGCATGAGGTTATGACTGTATACGGCCGTGCGTAACGACGCATGGTCGGTATAGACTGTACAGGGTATATATCCTAAGAGATATAGCTGACGCGATTGGTAACAGACTACGCGCTCAACACCGTTTAAGTCGTACTGAATTAACGCGCAGCCGATTGCAAAACCACTGGCGTCACAGACCATGTGGAATGGTCTGTCATGGTCTGCAATTGCCAACACAGGCGATTGTATTGAATTTTCTTGATACCTTCGAAGGAGTGCTGACACTCAGCACTACTTAACCACCTCTTGTTTTTCTTTAGCAGACGAGAGAGATGTAAGGTAATATAGGCGTAGTTGCGCGAGTACTTGTTCACGTAAGCTACTAATCAATGAACTTTCAAGTCCCTTGACGTCGACTGGCACAGGCCGGTCGCTAATAGTCTTGATCGTTTCTGGGTCAGGCCGTACACCGTTTTTACCCACGATGCAGCCAAGAAGTGGTATTTCTTTCGATGCTAAGATGCACTTCTTGAGGTTCGGGGATATGTTACGCTCACGCGTAATTGTGAGAATCTTCTGGAAGTGGACTTTG